TCTCATCACTGAAGGCATTGTAGTTTGTAGAAAATCCTTGAAGTGTATTTCCAGGATATATGTCTTCCAGCAAAGACATCACGCTTGTATTCAGTTTTCTTGTGATAGTGATACAGATTTCTACATACCAAAATTTGTTCATGTACTGTTGCTTATCTTATATTCCAGTGGTCTGAATGTACATTCATTTTAGAGCCAAAATTCAAAGTTCAGTTAGTAGATTTGGTATGTGCAAGCACTGAGAACAGTGCTAATCAACTTGGAGTCAAAATAAGTATAGAATTTTATACTTTACAGTCTTTGTTAATTACTGATATAATGCTTTTTGGCAGAACAGTTATTAATCTTTTATTTTCAGGATTCGTGAATAATGAAGAAGTAGACAAACTGTATCTCTCTATAAAACTAGTGCAAGGGCCTAATACCTACCTTCTTTTACCAAAATAGAGTGTATGGGTAATTCTGAGCAGTAATTATTAACAAATGGTGATAAATATTTAAGCCATGTTTCTTAACATTAATAATTTATCTTTTCACTTTAAAATCCTTTGGAGATTAAGTAGTAATGACAAGTGGTAAATATTTGTATATTGTGAAGTCATTACCACATCATTGTGTGATAATCTCTAAGAAAATACCAGGAATTATTTCATCTATTGAATATCCAGACGGTGTTTCATTATAGTCCAATGTGGCTGCCTGTGTTGTAGTACTAAGCTTACTTCAGCTTTATGACAGAATGTAACAGAAACAAAAAATGGCACAACCAATTTTTGAACTTTTTTTTGAAAATTCACGCACCAAAATTTGCTTTTAAGTTCATAAGGTTCATATTACATTGCATGGACTTGCTTGCTTGCTGTTTGTTATTGAGACCTTCTTTCAAATGAAGTGTCAGGATTACGGGACTCACCTGTTGGTAACAACACAAATTGTTGCCTACAATTAGAGTTTTACCTAGACTTGGGGAGAGTATCTGAATTCATCTAAATTCTGTGCTGTCATACGGAACATATGCAACTCACCATTTAACCTGGGTTTTGTCTCAGTGCTAGCACTTGTTTGTATTAACTCTTAGTTATATGTTTTAAAATAAAATCAGTGATGGGATTAGATTATCGGAATGTAAAGGTACAAATATAGCCCTCTACCAAAATATAGGCCTAATGTCTCTTTGAAAAGAGACATAGTCTTAAAATACCTTATTTTCAAGTCTATATATAAATCAGTGTTAAAATTATGTTAATGTATTGATCAGAATACAAATGCAATTATAGAAAGCCCATGTGATTCAAAAGCTTAATGTATTTATACAGATGCTAGTTGGATCTCATTGTAGATCTTTTAACATGTCTCTTGTTCTCCTTTTAAATGTTGAGATTGTTTGTATGTACTATGTAGAAAAGTTGAAGCCATTCTAAGAAAATTTTCCATTCTTTGACTTTTCTTTACTTAATGCAGCGCAAGGACAGAGAATTTAAACATTTTTATTATGTAAATTTTGTGAGGTTTTAAATTTCTTTAGAAACTGACAAAATACAAATGGGAGGACATATCCCTGGGTGTTAGAAAAAATTTGACAGGAAATCGGAGGAGAACTAGAAATTAGAGCAGAGTTGAAAAGACAGATTTTTCCTCATACGGAATCCAGATGAACCAAGATTGATTTGATTAATAGTAGTAATGATAAAATTGTGGTACATTAAGAACCTAATCCAGTAGAAACACCCAGTATTAATTTCAGTATGTAAGTTTGAGCATACAGGCTATACATATATTTGTGTTGGTAGAATACCATGCTTTATACTCAGACACAGAAGATTATACTTTTTTAACAGTTTTATTTGTAAATAAGTATTTTTATGCACAAATAATTACTCAAAGCTGTGTAGATTCTGCAAGTAAATTAGTAGGACAAAGCAATCTTTTTTGATAGTTGCCCTTCCCAAAAGCTGGTTAAAAGCGTATGTATGGTTCCCATTTACATATCCAACTAGCTACATGGATTTTCTTGAGACGTTGTTTTGAAAGTACACTTTGGTTGAGCCCAAATATTGCAAGTTTGCGCTTAAAAGAAAATGTCTGTCAAAAACAGTGAGCACAAAGTAAGATATAGAATGGATGCCCAGCCCAGCCTGCACAACAGGGTTGCTACCATGTTGTTAGAATAATTACATTTTGGCTGAACTAACTAATTTAGAAAAACTGCAGTACACCTAGCACAACTGAAAACTTTCCAGGACTGGGTTGGGTTTTTTTTATTTTTTAGTGTAATTTAAAACAATACCTCTTCTAGCTGCCAACAAACTCTTTCCCTGAATCTCCCCATTCCTGGCTTCCCTCCTAACCATGTCCTGGCTCACCTCCAGAGCTGCCAAGTTTGTGCCAGAAGCAGGAGGTAGATTTGTATGGGGCTGGAGGAAGATCTGGAGCTCTGTTAAATTTTCAGGCCCAGATGGGGCAACATGATTTGTGTGTTTATGTCAGTATGCCATACATCACAACTATCTGTGTGCTGACGTCAGCTTTGATTGGACATTAATGTGCTGAACACTGCAAACTAGAAAATACATGATAGATACAGATCTATGGCAACAATGCCACATAAGCAAATGTTTATTTGGTGTGGCAATTCACTGTGCAAAATATTTCCCAAGATACACTGCATTAAGCCAGGAGAATATTTTGACACACTTTAAAAACAAAAACAAAATCAACATGGGCAAAAAGACTACGATTTAAGAAAGCAAACCTGTTCAGAAGAAGAGCTGAAACCAACATATTGAAGTATGCATCATTAGGCAAATATTGAATTGCTATCCCTCACTTTAATCTTTCCAGAATTAAGACCAAATAGGAAGGATGCTATTCTTATGATATGCAGGACTGTTAATGATGAGGATACCTTGCTGATGGTTGAGCATCTTTCTATCCACAGTTTTTGTAACCCATTGTTATCACAACCAGCAAGCAAAAAAAATGGACAGCAAACATTTTCTTGAATGATAGAATATTTTTCCTATACCAAGAGTTTAGGTTAGCTTCCAGAAATCATCAGTGTTTGTTTGTTTATTTATGTAACAATTTTGTGTTTCTTGCTTATACAAATAACATCCAGCAGCCTGCTGAAGAACTGGCAAAATACAGTAATTTCAGGTCTGTGGATTTATAGAGGTCACTGGCTACTTCATATTTATATTTATATGATCTTTCTGTGATTGCCTCTGTAGAACAATGTGACCAAAAGTTTCCATTAAAATACAGTATACTGTCTCTCTCTTCCTAGAAGAGGAAATACTTTGCAAGTCAGCTTTAATGTTTCAGGGGTGGATATAATAACAAAGTTTGGGGATTGATGTGTCGGGAGTGTTCTTTTAGCTCAGATCATTTAAGTTATTCCTTAGAAAGGAAATTCTGTAGTATAACACTATTTTATAATTATCCATCATTAGACTTTGTAGGTAAAATTGAAGTTCCCTGATTCCATAGGGATAGATCATTTTGGCCTGTGCACAAGTAGCGGCTTTGAAAAGAGACCAGTCCCCAGGATTTAATGCCATCTGGCCCATAAGGTGGGGAAGGGAGGGGGTGTAAAGGTACCATGGGATCAGTGGATTTAGGTCTTGTAACCTGAGCAGATTGGGCTGTGCAGGACAGGCCACAAGTTACTTTATGTAGCGGTCAAAAAACAGAATTCAGATTATTATTATTTGATGGGAGTAGGAAATGTTCACCTTTCACGTCTGCTTCGTAGGCTTCTACGTGGCTAGGAAATACGCTGTTATTGAAACGTGTGTTCCTGAAAGCAGTTGGTGTATTGGTCACCATTTTAATAAACCTGTATGTCAGTACAATGCATAGACTTTTCTAACATATCTAGGGATGTTTCCCTTCTCCTAATTACTTTATAAATTGTTATTATCAAATAGTTTATCAGTATTTAAATTGACCTTTCATAATAAGCGTCGGTCATGTAGTTTATGAAAGAAGTGCAGAATGTACAAAATGCTTTAAAATTAATAAAAAATACAAAACTACAATTTGGAGTTACTGAGCTAATTCTTCATACTTGCAATGGGTATTTTGAGGTGATTGATCTTGATACCCCTGAAAGTGTGATGGGTATAGCACCTACAGCCATCAAGAACAAGAGCATACCAGCTGTCCAGGCAGCTTTAAGATAACTACTACTTATCTTAAAGAAATATTTTGCTTTTTAGCACAGATTTGTCTCCTTTTTTTTTTTGCTCATTAAATACTGACATCGTCGAAGCATTTAAGAACATGTTACCCTGAGTTACCTCTGAAGATCTCTGTTGTGACCTTTGAATGTTGCTTTCTGCTATATAAAAGAAAACTCTGCGGAAAACAGCTTATTTAAGGCACACGACAGTACATTGTTGCACAAGACATAGGGCATCACTTATAAATCACAAACATATTGAGAAATGGTAATGCAACTGGAAGGTTTAGATTCATACATTGCGTAGAGAGGAACTTTTAGAAAGAAAAATACTAGAGAAAATGCTTTGGTTTTCCATGTTGTTTGACTGATGACCAAAACGAATAATCACGTGGGTTGTGCTTGCTCCAAATATTAGAGGTTATATGCCTAAGTGTATTAAAACCCAAGATTTTCAGAACACAAACAAAAGCTGGGCATCTGACTCATAGTAGAAGTCAACAAGAGGTGCTTACCTGCCACGTAGCTTGTAAATATCTCTGATGTGAGCACATGCTTATGGTATGAAGATTAGGAAAATATTAATTTAGTGCTGAGTTAGCCCTTTTATGGTTTCTCCTTGTCAAATACATGTTTTCTTTAGAGAGAAATTTCAAGTCTTTTTTTTTAAATGAAAAAAGCCCTCTAACGTAATTTCTAAGTATTGATGACCTATTTTTTTCCCCACAGTTTGTCATTGAGAAGACCAAGGCTTACTCTATGAACATTAATTACCTTTTTCATCTCAGGATGTGTATTTTGTTTCCATGTCTTACAGAATAAAGCAATTATGGAACGTGTAACAAACTTGTCAGATATGGTAGTTGGTCTTGAATCATTTATTGGCTCTGAGAGAGAAACCAATCCGTTATACAAGGATTACCACGGTAAGTTCCATCTTTAGCAACGCAGAAAGTCTGCCCTGAGTGTTTCTAGGGCACTTAGCGGCTTACCCTCCAATTGGGTATCTGCTATAAAGTAGCATTTGATTTCATTTTAGAATATACCCCTTAAATGTTTCTCCTTGCTAACCAGTCTTGAGTTAGGAAAATTTTCAGTAAAGTGCATTAAGGCTGCAAAGGAAACATGGCAACTCCTTGCATGTTGTCAAGCCGTATTACTGAGGCATGGCTCAATCAGATGTACATCTCAACAGGCAGGCTTTGGGGAATTCACATGCAGAGGAGGCTTGGCAATCATCTGACCAGTGAGCTGAACTTGTCATGAAATCAATACTTTTGATCTGCCAAGTTTTAAATAGAGAACATGGAAAAACATATATTATATTAAGGTGAATAAACTGCTAAATGATATGCTATATAAACGTTATCTAAAAATAATGTTCTATTTTTCAGCTTTAAGTTACGGCACATGTATTTAAGGAAATGAATATGGATATGTGTGGCATGTAAAATATGAAACTAATTTTGGTAAAAAGTCATGTAGCCTTTCAAGTGATTTATCTTCAAAATGTGTAATGGTGTTTAATCTTGCATTTTGTTTCCCAAAGATTTTGTTAGCAGTTGCAGCAGAACTATTTAAATTTTAAAAGATTAGATTAGAAGTTATGCATAGCCAAAGCAGTGAATAACAAACAGTTTTAGCTAATCTGGAGCGGTGCTCTGAGTGTGCATAAATTACAGCTATTATTATTGTGATACTACTGTAGTTCCATGGAAACCTTTAGTTGAAAGTAAACTGCTTATCCGAAACCTGCTGTAAACATGTGAGTATGTGGCAGTGTTTTCCATAGCAGAATGTGTAGAAAAAGAAGCAAAGATGGTGTTGAGACACCACTGTGTGTATGCAGGCTGTAATTAATAAATCAGAGAAAAATCTTTTTGGCTATGAAAATAGTGCACATTTCATTATCTGAAGAAAGGTGAATGAAAAAGAAACCATGAACAAAAGCTAGAATAATTTGCCTAATTATTTTTCCAACTGTATAATCGTGATGTGGCATTTGTTTATGCTAACATAATTCTGTCAATTCGATACTCCTTTTCTCAGTACTGAAGAGATCCTTTAAGACAATGTGTGTTTTAGCAGTTACTTCCTGGTTTCCTGTAAAAATGTATAATAAATCATTTTTGTACTATGTAATAAAAATTATAGGCCAATATACGTAGCTTTTGATTTTTAGGCCACCTTAATTTAACATTCTAAAAGTAGGTATTTTTTAACGGTTTTAACTTTGTGGATTCTTTTTGCTTAAGAATATATTTTAAGATGATGTGTTTACTGCAGATGATGGAAGATTTTGACATTACTCAGGAGAAGTTTGATTAAATTATTGCATTATTTAATGAATCCTGCATTAATAATTTTATTAAGCTGCCTGCAAATTTAAATGGTTGAAAAGTCAACAAAATAACAAAAGAATTATATAGATGATCATTAAGTAAAATTTTTAGAATACTGTATATAAGCAACCCTGTGTTATACCTGCTGTCCCTGTATATAATAATTAGATTTTGAACTCAAAAGCCAAACAAATAATTCTTATATGTCACCGGACTGGAGGCAGGGATAGAAGGTTTCAAAGCGTAAAAATATTTTTGTAATATTATTGAGAATTTTTGTAATTAGTACCCATAAAAATTATGCTTTTTAAAGTATTTCAGTTTTAGGAAACTTTCTTCCCTTATTCTTCCTTTTAAAAAAAATAAAGAAAACCCCGAAAAAATACTTGCCTTATTTTAAATTAGGGGTTTAGTGTTTGGGGGTTTTCTCACAGCTGCCGTTTTCAAGTAAGATGTCTTTTCTAAATGTTCAGTATTTCCATTTAGATGCTGGCTTTATGAATAGCAAAAATAGGCCAGTAATTGAGAAGCCCTGTAGAATTTTCCTGGTTTTCAGATGTAGAAAATCACCCTTAGGTTGTTCAGAAACTATATTAGGCTGCACAAAAACCATCCAGCGTCCTTGTCAGAAAAAATCAGCTTGAGTTGCAGCTGACAGAATGCAGAGCTTGCAGTGCACCTAGTACTGTTAAAAACATCTGAACAGCTATATAAGCTTCCTGCATGAAGAAAACGTATTTCTCCTAGGATGGCATGGGGGTTAAAATTTATCGAAAAGCATGATCTAAACCAGCATTTTCCAGGAACTTTTTTAAAGTCGTTTTCAGGGCGCAAAATGAAGTACTTCTCATTAGAGCTTCAGTGGTTATCAGTAACCCATAAGCCTTGTTTTGCTGGCTGCTTACTGGTGCATTTAATAAAATAAAGATCACTCAGTGGTGCCGTGGGCAGCATGCAAGGTGATAGCCATATTTGCTTACTGTAAATACAAGAGAAAATCACACACAAACCGGCTGTAGTTTTGACAAGTATTAAGATCCCTCTTTACATCTGTACTTCTGTACCAAAGTGCAATTAGTTTTCCTCGCACAAGGATCTCTGTTTATCTTATTCTGCTTGATTACTTGAGTATAATCGCACCGTTTGCTTCATTGCTCCTGGTAGTAAGCGCCAGTTTAAAAAGGGGAGGATGAGTGTGTGTAAATATACAGAATTCTGCTGTAAGACTCTAATTTATGCATCTGGATGACAGCATTTTCTTAATTTTTTTCCCTCCTTTACTCTTTCTTTCCACAAGGTTTGGTTCACGTACAGCAGATTCCTCGGCTTAATAGCTTGATCTGTGATGTGTCAGACACGAAGGACCTTGCTTTTAGATTAAAAAGGAAGCTGTTCACCATTGAGGTAAGAGAAACAGTTTTGTTTCACTATTTAGAACCCAAAAGGTGGAGCTAATCCCATCTCTTATGTTTCGTTTTGTGAAATACATAAAATATGCATCAGATGTTGTAAATTCATTTCGTTCTGGTTTTGCTGTTCAGAATGGTTTTATAAAATATTGTAATATGCCTCCTGATTAAAAATGTCTCATTTGCTGCACCAAATTGGTCCGTTATAAATAGTTTATTTTGGTTTAAAATGTACATAGAAAGTAGGCCACAACCTTCAATAACAAAGCGTGACATGTTCCTGAGGATGTCAGGAGCATATTTAATTAAATGTTAATGACTTGCTCTTACTTGTGTTAGTGGGTGGGAAAGTAGCTACATGTTATTACCCCAGTAGAGGGATTTTAATGTATAATGCTGCCTAAAATTGTGTGTGGTATGAGGGATAAGTGTCCTTATCAGCATTCAGAAACCATTTTCTTTGCATTACTGAAATCACCTTTCGCTCTTTTATGTCATTTTAAACACAGTATCATTTACACTAATGTCCTTAAGTAAATTTCCTACTAAATTTAAACTTTTTTCTGTGACCTTTATGCAGACAGTCCTGATAGAAGGCAGTAATACAAAAGATGTATTTCATTTTAATCTTGCTAAAGAGCAAATGAACATAGCACTATTAAGCAATTAGAGCTGATGTATTTATTAACCAAGTAATGCTTAGAGATGGAAGATGGCTTTCGGGGTGATGTGATAGTCATCGGTACAGTCTGGGCAAATTTTTTTTAACAAAGACATAAAACAGCCAAGCATCCCTGACAAACCATTTTGTTTAATCTCTTTTCAAATGAAAAGCTCTTAAGCAGACCACTTGTCTTAACTGCTTGAAACCATAAAAAGAGAGAATTGCCACCAATAAATTAGCATATTTTTTACTCCATCACCAAATGATGGTCAATGTGGCTTGGCACTGCTTTGGTGTTTGGGACTTCACCCTTAAGTGACCACTTTGGCCCTTATTTGACCCTCTGCCCTTTTTAGCTGGCCACTTGATAAGGTAACTTAAGGGTTCTCTCTCTTCACTGCCTCCTCCCCTTCACAATTGCAAGTAGCCCTAACCTATAAATCATTGAAAGGGCCCTATCAAGTGACAAATTAAGGTGCCCTCCTCCTAATTAATGGTCATCAATGTCTTTAATTATCTAATCCTATTGAGAGTAGTTAATAGTTAATCAGGCAGCCAGTTCTTCATGCAGGTCATCTCTGCATGAGTGCTAGAAGTTTCTCAACTAGAGGTATCCTCTTCAGAAGCCACTTAAAGGCAAATACGTAAAGGAGGGCTTTTTTCCTAAAGACATTCCTTTATAATGTTTCTCACTTTCCAGAGAATGCGGTTAGTGAAACCAGGCATTGTGAGGTATTAAACCATTTTAACGACTGCTTTTGAGCAGTACATTAGAAACAAAAACCTTAATAGTCTGTGTTTGGTTTTAAAATACAAACGTTCTTACTGTTTTCAGAAGTGCAAAGAAGCGTGCACCCTCGTTTCACAGCACAGTAAATTCTCATTTATTATAGCTATGAATTAACATATTTGGGTTTTTTTTTCCTCACTGTGAATCCTGACTCAGAATATAATTTTTTCAGTCATCTGAATTTGGGATTCTAATTTGTAATGTAAATTGGAAGCAAAAAAAAAAAACCTTAGCAGGAGGCTCTGTAAAAAGAATTGAATTAGCCATAGGGCAGAAGCGTTGGGAACAGGGGTGTAGTGGAACTCTTGAAACAACCTGTTGCCCTAGACATGCGTAGATGACCCACTTGTACAACTTCTCCCTTCATTGCTGAGCTGCAGCCCCTTTTGAATAACTTCAGGTTTGGTTAGAGATATGCTTTCTATAAGCTGAACTGACACAAACTAGCCCTTTTTGAACATGTTATATCACTGTCCTACTGTGATCTTCCTGTACACATTTCACTGATCCATAATACATATGTTTTTCTTCCTCATACTGTTAGGGGAGGCAGACTACAGCTAGGCAGACTACAGCAATGAGGTCAATAAGAAAATGGGAGCAAGGGAAAATTGAATTAAGAAGGGATGTGAATACAGTCTTCTAGAATGGGTTTCTGCAGTTAGAATGTGATGAGTCAGCAGTCAGGTTTGGTTCTGGTGGTAAAAACATAAAGCAGCACAACAGTGTGCGTTACAAGCAACAGTGTGATTTATACAAAGTACAACTAAGTTTATGACTTCTTTAGTATGTAGCTTAAATGTGAAATGAAAATATATTTTGAGTACGTTACAGTTTTTGGAAAGCTTCTGCTTAGTTATATATACAATTTAGGGTAAAAATACTGACCTCTACTTGAAATGCCACTTTAAAATCATAAGAAGCATAAAAACATAAGAAAAGTTAGAAATATACAACCTCTGATTTATGATAAAACTTCTCCAAAAAGGATTTTCATCACTAGACCATTCTTTTTTTACAGTTTAAAATAAGAGCATGGGACACAGATTTTCTTATCTCTGGATTGCTCACCAGTTAAATAACTCTTTATGGTTTGGCCCTCATCAGTAAAAAACCTTAAATGTCAAATCTGTTTTATTAGATTGCAGTTTTGTGGGAGGGACTCCGCCTCTTTAGAGTCTGCAGAATCATTTAACTGTTTCAGTTTTTCTTGTATCTTCTTCATCAAAATAAGATTGACTGAAATGTATTCTAAAGGGATTTTTTTTAAATTCAGGATGAAAATGGTTTTTAATGAATATTTATGAGTGTTCATTTTCCATTTGTAAATTATGAGGTCGACCCTTTCCAGGAAAACTTAGACGTTTATGGTAAAAGGTGCAGTAGCCGTATCAAGCTTTCCCAAATCTTCATGTTAGTTACTAGCAATATATTATTATATGCAATATTATTAGAGATCTGTCTTATGTGCATACCACTTTAAAGGACACAATTTTGAAGTTAGCCTGTCTAATCCTATTTCTTCCCACTTTGGAATCTTAATTAGAAGGAGATAAAAACCATCATTTGACTAAATTATTGTCTTGAATCTGTAGCAAAAGGTATAATCCGCAATTGGGCCAATTAGTGTACCCCATAGTTAGCTATGCTGAGGCAGGAAACTTGATTAGATCTGACACCAGCCTAGTTCCCACTGTTGTTTTGCCAGGTATGATGGTCAGACTTCAAAGGGCTTGAGGCATCAGCAGGGCAAGGTTTGGAGGCCAGCTTAGGTCCGGTCGTTAATCTCTCTGCTAAAACCACAGCAGCCCTCGCACAAAACAAGCTTACACGACACAATCATGCGGTATTAAAGTTTGGGTTGAGTCATGCCAATTTGCCTTTGATTTTCTGATGATTGACTAAAAGATGGCTACATGACTAGACACTTACTGAAAGTTTACTGATTAGGTAAGTTCCCCAAATATTTGAAATATTTTTTGATTTCTCAGTTAAATGATATGACAACTCGTTCATCTTAATGAAACTTTTCAGCAGAATTGTTCTTGAAGTACTTTTTGCTTTGTTTGTAGCGCTGAATGTAACTTTTATCAACATTTGATAAAGTTTGTAGGAACATTATGTTCATAGTTTTATTTGATAGAACTTTATCTTTGTTGTTCCAAAGCCTTCTGTATCAAAACTAAAGGAATCTGTGCCTAAATTTGATTTTTTCACTCCTCGAAATTTCTAAGGAAACGTTGTTTGTTATTTAGGTATATTTACAATCGCACGCAAAAAGGGTATTTCCTGTTAATTATTTTCCACCTCACCATTGCGTAAAGCGCTGTTCCACGGCTGCGATTACATAAGTGTTCCTTTCTTTTGCAGTCTGATTTGTTGAAATATTGCAGTAACAGTGACATGTTTCCATTCTGAGAGAAGCCTAAGGCTGCTTTAGTATTATTCCAAATGATTGAAATTGCCATCTTGCTGACTTTCCCTTGGGCAGTTTAAGGCCTGTTTACTTTTGTATTTGTTTCACATGTTCCCTCTGAGTTTGGCTGGCAGGACATCATTACCTGGTTTGACAAGACAGTTGGAGAAGATTCATATTTGATTAACTCCCTTTGTTACTGTCTGGTCAACATAAACCTCTGAAATTATGTATTTAGAGTTAAAATTTTTGATAAATTCAGTATGTTTGCAAATAGGAAGGTTTGTGAGGGGTTTTTTTTAATTCCCTAGTTTTGCTTTACTGCAGATTTTTTAAGTCTTCAGGTAACAGTCAATTGTTAATAGTATAGAGAATAAGCTTTTTCCTACAAGTTGTGTAATATAGTTTGTCTAATAAATAGTTGTTGTGAATTATTTTTTCTGATTTGATCAATACACAAGAGCCAGCTAATGTGATTTTCTTTTTAATGGCTATGTAACACCTGTGCAAACCAGAATAAAAGTCCTTAAAAGACAGCTCAGTTTGAAGCCAAGTGTCACGTACTACATAAAGAATTGCCACACAGCAAAAATAAGTAAGTTTCCAGGAGATTCTTTTCTGAGAGGTGTTTCCTAACAGGAGGAGAAGAAAGTCAGAATTAGAGGAGTCCTGTGGCAGGGAAGTTGCTGGTTTCTCAGTGGCAGGCAGATACAATATGGTACTATGGAGCACTCTGCAGTGCATTTTTCCTGGTGGTAATTGCCAGAGTAAAAGGTTATGTCTTTGGAAGGAAACATAATCACAAAACCCAGCAATTGAGTCTATATAGGATTAAAAATAAATATATGATTCCAAAGGCATTAAAATAATGTCCTTTCTTCATCTGTCAATAAAGGACTATCAGAAAATTAGTGTTTGCCAAAATAAGCAAGATTTAATTGCAACTCCAGATATTCACGCGTATGCTATGTGTCCAGCATTGGTATTTGGAAGAAGACTTAAAACTCTTTTCTTTAAAGATGATGAATCTGGCAATTAAAAACAGGAAATACATCGTAGGTAGCTTCCATCTGAAATCTCTGTGGTTTTGGGGTTTTTTTTCATTCTATCCCTTTTCATTGCTTA